CCCAGCTTGGCCACCCCTGAACGGAGTCCCTCTGCCTGAACCCGGTTGTCGGCCACCACCCGTGCCTCGTCCAAACTTAGAGGGAGTGCTCTTCTCACCCTGCCCAGAAGTACTCCCAAGAAAGCCACGCTTCTTAGCCTGGATGTTTCGGACCTGCAGCTGTGCACTCTCAACTCGTTGGGCTTTTTCCATCGCCTCGCTAAACGTGGTGATTTGAGCCGCCGCGAGGTCTTTCTGGATCTCAACGTTCAAACCCTAAATGAAGCGCCTAATCCGTCGTTGCTCAGTCATGATTAATTCAGGCGCAAACTTGGACAGGCGGGTAAATTGGCTCTCGTACTCCGCCACAGTCTGAGCCCCTTGCCGGAGCCGGATAAACTCGTTCTCCTTCCTCTCCTGGACTAGAGGAGGGAAAAACTTTGCATTAAATTCTCGGATGAAGTTCACCCAAGTCCTAGGCGTCTGCTCCCGATCCCATTTCTGCCTAATTACGTTCCACCAGGAACAGGCAGCCCCCTCGAGTTGAAACACGGCAAAAGTGACCTGCCGTTCGTCAGGGTAGTGTAGGGCCGCGAATATGTCAACCATTTTCTCAAGCCATTTCTCAGCAACGTCAGGGTCGGGTCCCCCAACAAACTTTGGCGGGGAAAACTTTTGAAAACGTTCTAGAGCTCTATCTTCGCTCTCAATATGATGGCCAGGGTTTCCTGGGTTAGGGTTTGGGTTCTGGCCCTGTTGTTGGACTACTTGTGCTAGTAAATTGGTCATTTGCTGCATAGCGGCAGCTATTTGTACATTTGGATCTAATTGGGGTTCCAGATTTGGTCCAGTAGAAGCTTCCCCCGTTTCCCTAACCGGTGTGGGTTGTCTAATACCGCGCCCGCGTCCCCGACCACTTCGTGTTCCCTCCATAGGTTTCACTCGGTCTAGGCAAAAGTACTAAACCAAAGCAGCAGCAAAACATATAAGCAACACTTAAACTTTGCACAAAACACATAGGTATACCGTCAAGCATAAGCACAAACACACATATATACAAGCCAAACACATATATACAATCAGTCAGTCAAGTACGGCCAAGGCACGTACGTACATAAACGATCCTCCCGAGGATAGGCCTATCAAAAGAAATTTACACGTAGCTAACCCTACATCCAAAACGGTTAGCTAAGGCTCTATCCCTATCCCTATGTACATTCAAAACCACCACTAACCAAAAGATGCCCGAAGATCAAGGCCTAATCAGTCGCTGGGGTCTGGGACCCAGGCGACGGGGTAGACTCCTCCCCAGCCTCGGCCCCAGCATACGAGGCCTCATCACTAGACTCCTCGAGTCCGTCGTCGCACAGATTAAGGATCGCCTCAGCACGACCCCTGACCTTGCGAGCTCGCTTAGTCTCGCGCTCGCGTGCATCTCTCAATTGATCACATAGGTCATCAACTCGATCCTTGGCCTCATGCACGTCATACTCTAGCTCCATGATACGTGCGGCTTGTTTCTCATTGGTTGCCTTAGCCTGAGTCACCTCGGCTTCCAGCGTAGCAACCACAGCTTCAAGCTTAGTATTATCCTTAGCAAACTCCTCACGTTCCTTTGCCACCGCCAATACTAGAGCGTTCGGATAGGCGTAGTTGCTACGACACTCACACTGTCGAAGGCGGCTGGCCGGGCTCCAACGAACTACAGCTCCTTTCTGCCTAATTTGATACTTAATTGGCGGCAGCGTGCTACGAGGACGATCTCCTGCCGGGCGGTCACTCGGATCACCACTCGCATCCATCCTATAGCAAAGGAAGAAATAACATGAATACACTTAATAGGCATAAACAATAGCATCCTCAAGTCGAGCACTTCTATTACACCCAGGCTAATTCAAACATAGGCTCTGATACCACCTGTGACAGCCCCACCTTCCCCTAAGGCGAACCAAAGAGGTTAGCGGACTGCCTGCCCAGCTCTCGCCAGGACTAACGGTGCAGTATAAAGCGATCTATCACGTTCTGAAACTTATAAACGCGCGTAAACAAGGCAAACGGGCAAAATAACCCAAAATTAAAATGAAATCCAGAGTCGGCCATGAATAGTAACCGACCCGTCCGAAACCCAACCAAACATCGAAATACATATACAACATAACATTAACCATTTACAAGCCAAAAGGGCATACCAAAACCATTCATCATGGAAGTACATATTTGGTTTGCCTATCAAAAGGAAATGAACCCGATACACATTAGGGTTTCATTTCTAGAGCTATACAAAAGACATTTACATGCCCAACTTGGCAATTGACTATCCAATCCATTCTCAAAAGTAATTATATCCCTGTAAGGAAAACAAATAACACGGAATGAGCTAAAGCCCAGTGGTATACCACTACATAAGCAACCAAAGTCACATAAGAATGAACTTTCATTTAAAGTGCACAATTTAAAAGTAAACAAGTCGGAAAAGGATACGGAGGGCTCTCAAGAGCCCATTTCCACGCTTGCAATCTTGATCCAACCTCATTGACTCTCCGTCAATGTTAAAAGTACAAAACCGTAGACCACCCTTTACTTCCAATCCTTCCACCAAACATACCCCAACTGGGCCCGCACTTCATCTCAGTAGCTTTTGGTAATACTCGAGTATACCGGAACCAAGAGTCTCATTACTACAAGGTTCCTCAGTACAGTCCCCGTGGCATGACAATTTTCACGACCAAGCCCTCGCCGGCTCGATCCAATTGACTACCAAACGGGGTTGAGCTCAGTAATACAGTAAGGCCGTTGGACATTCGTCCAAACGACACCAAAGCAGTTTCCATGAAATGGAATTCACCAACCAATATATCAAGTTCAGTAATGCAGTAAAACGGTAGCCAATCAGTGATACTATCAAAAGGGGTGAGGGCGGTCAAGTACACCCTCACCTTAATCAATTCCAATATCCAATTAAGCCTTCAAGGCATCACATATACATTTAGCAAAGCCACATAGTAATAATTAAGTGAGTAGTATACTCACCAAGCAAGAAAGTGGTGTTTCATACACCGTGGTCACCAATCCGCCGTGAACTACCATCACGCCCTAGAATCACGCAACAAATGCAATGAGACTCGATAACGAGTCATATAGAAATGCTGAACACAACCCCAATAGGGTTTCATATGCATAAATAAGCATGATAGCAAACCAGAAATTAGAGATAGCTTTAGTCTTAGCCCCGAATAGAAAAACTGTTTTGCCCTTATTATGCGGTAATGGCGCCAAATTCACTACGGTTATCGGATGGGGGTGTAAGATCCACCGTTTCGAAGCTATGAAACAGGGCTAAAACAATGTAGAAGGTCACTCACTCCAGTTCCTAGCTTAACTAGGTCAAAAATGCCAAATTCTAAACCAGAATGACCAAAACAGGTTTGTAAATCACACAAAACTGTAATCAGTATAACTCCGTCCATACAAGTCCAAATGCCGAAATTCCAAAGGCATATGGTAGCTAAGACATCCAGCTACATTTCATCAGAAGACACCAACAACAAAATCCAAACCGATTCCAGTCAAAATGGCCAATTACCATTGCAGATTTCGCATTCTGTCCAAAGCAGAACAGCTACAGTAATTCCGTCATATCTCACTCTACACTAATCCAAATGACCTGAAATTTTACAGGCACCTCAAACACATCAATACCTAAAACTTTCATGTTTTGAGCAAAGTCCAATTCGGCCTCTAACCCTATGATCCAAAACCGGACAGAATTAGGGGTCTTCAAACCCTAACTTTTCACAATTCACTCCAAATCCAAAATTGGTTGCATTTATCAACAATTCACACCTACTAGAGTCATTTTAAACCATTACCATTCATCATACAAGGCCATAACATCCCATTCATATTAAACCAGAAAATTCATCATAAAATGGAAAACTTCACCAAATCACTTCAAATAAAGAAATAAATCACATATTCCATCACTCATGCCACCATTAAGCACAAAATAAGCATCATTAGAGGTAGTAGGGTGTTCAAGCATCACTTACCAAGAAATCAAGAGAGAGAGGGATGTTGGCCACCTTAGACCTTCAAACAAACTTCACTAAGACACTTACTAGCACTAGAAGGAAAGATTTTATGGAGTGGAATCTAGTGTAGGCTTTTGTTCTTGGAAGATTGAGTGAAATGGAAGCTTGAAAGTTGAGGAAATTTCCTTCCTTCTTGAGCTAGGGAGATCCGGCCACCAAGGAGAAGAAAATGGTGAATTTTGTGCAATTTTTTGATATTTAATCCTTTGGTCAAAAAAGTCAAGAAAGTGAATAGTAATTCTTAAAGTCCACCCAATGAGAAAGTGACACTTGTCACTCTCATTAATGCATTCCTATCCTTTCTTTCTCTCTCACATCAATCATTTCACACACTCTACTTATCTCTTAACACCCGATAAATTTTACACAGTATCCGAAACTTAACCTTATTGGCCGAATTTTTCCGAACTTTTCACACTAGTGGGTCCCACGTCCAATATATATTCCTAATTTTCTAAAAATTCACCAATGCTAGAAAATCATCTAAAAACTATAATTGCTCATAAAATCTACCAGAAAAATATTTCTAAGCCAGAAAATACAAAAAAAAAAATTATGCAATTAAGGGGTAATAAACCCTAGGAAAAATATTAGGGTTTTACGAGTTCTCACAGGCAAGGTCTGGCAAGTTCTCCTTAGCCTCGGCCTATCAGGAGGTACGCCCGGTTGGTAACTCTTCATTTATGTTTTCTAGGGTTTGGCAAAGGCCGACCCCAATGAAAGTATCATTCTTCATGGGTCGTCTCCTATGGGGCCGGCTGCCCTTGGATGACGTGCTCCACATGCTTGGTTTTCAGGTAGCTTCCAAATGTTGGTGTTGCTCTCATCCGTCGGTCGAGTCTTTTGAACATGTTTTTTCGACGGGTCAGGTTGCAGAGGTAGTCTGGGAGTTTTTTGAGGGGCTGTGTGGCATCTCTAGTTCAGTTCCGTATGTACGGGCCCGCCTCGCTTCTTGGTGGTTGGCCTCACCCAGATCGAAGAGACGGCAAGCTATCTACCATATTCTGCCGAGCCTTATCTGCTGGCATCTTTGGAAGGCGAGGAATCGTGCAGTTTTTGAAGGTATTTCAGCTGCAATCCAATTCAATTTGTCAGGCTATCTTTCGGGAGACTAAGGTTTTGCTTGAAGGTCAGCTCAAGGAGCGGGTTGAGCCCCAGTCATTCTTGCAGTTGTGTGAATGGGCATCTCAGTCACGTGGGAGTTTTGGTTTTAAATTGGTTTGTTGGAAACCAGCTATAGAGGGGGAGTTCACCCTGAACACGGATGGCTGCTCCAAGGGTAATCCTGGGCTAGGCGGGGGGGTAGGGTTTTACGGGACATTGTGGGGCGACCATTGGTAGGGTTTTCGGCTTTCTTTGGGGCGACATCTAGTCTTCATGCCGAAACACTAGCTCTCTTGATGGGCCTTCGGATATGTGGTCAGAAGGGGGTTACAGATGTGAGCATCCAGTTAGACTCTCTGGTCTTGGTTGGCATTCTTCAACGTGGTTTGCAGTGTCCTTGGCATATTCGTGGGGAGGTCCGGTAGATTTGGAACCTGGTTAGGGACCCGTCTAGATTCTCTCATTGCTTCAGGGAGGCTAACAAGGTAGCAGATACTTTGGCTAATGTAGAGGTAGCCCACCCTCTATGAGCACTGGAGTGACTGACCGCCTGCTGGCCCGTGGAGGAGTTAGCCTCGATAGCATCGGGTTCCCTTCCCTTAGGACGGTGCGAAACCCCTAATCCTCGGTCTTCTGTCCTCTGATCTTCTATCTGTACTATGACTTCCATTATGAATAAAAGCGGGGGTGGCGTCCCTTCCCTTTGTCGGGGTTAGCCAAAAAAAAAAAAGATTGAATTGTTGTATTTATTTTAAATAGGGTCTGCGTACCCTGCCTCTCTTAATTTCTGGTTGTAATTTCTCTTCTTATCTAAGTCTCCCGAATATAACTCGGGGTTTCTTCTATACTATTTGTAATATATATTAGATAGAAGATAGATGACAGGAAATTGTATAAATAGCATAGAAATTGTAACTTGAAGATGAAGAAAAGGAGCCATGCAACAAAGAGGGGAATTTCTTGTGGTTTTCGATTAAACCCTAGTCAACCACTAATTTCCCTAATGGGTGGGGAAATTAGTTTAGAAGTATCCACAACCATCCACGTTTTAATTTCATGCTTATATATGTTTTTGAAATGTTTATTTGCATGTCTATTGATGAGACCAACAAGCAAATTTTTCAAAACTTTAATTACAAAAGGTTTTGGAGAAGGAGACAAATCCCTCAAATGCAACATTAGATCAATAATAAAAGTTGCCTTCCATCATTAAAGTATAAAACCAGAGTAGTTATTAAGTGCTAGCTTGTTAGGATTCACCCAAGGCTGCCTTACTTACTATATGTTTTTACTATGAGAAATGTTCTCAAGAATGATGGGTACGATTTAACTAAAATTATGGTATGTTGGGATTCACTCAAGACCATTAATTTTAGAGGCAATGGTTGGGTTAATACATAAAGATGTAAAATCAAGAGTTGATACCTGACTTATCTAGAAATTACAATTAATTTGTAATTGGTAAAGTACCTACCTTTCAAAATTAGTTTTGATTTGTTAGGATTCACCCAAGGTCAAAATTCCCTTAGTTTAGATTATTTTATTTTCACATGCATTTTCTTTATTTTACTTTACTATATGAAATTTCAAAGATTTTTATAAGTGAGTATAGGTTTTAAATCATTTTCCTAGTGTAAGTCAGTTCATGATAAGTTTGAAGTGCATTATGGATGTGGGACCCGCTAGTGCGTTAAGTGCGATAAATTTTTGACGATTAATTGAAGTTTTATATTAAGGGACATTATTTTACATGGTGCTAGGAGACAATTAGAGGTTAACTAGATAGATTAACCTTGAGAGAAAGAAGATAAGCTTAAAACCCTAACAGTTGCCACATGTCACGACCCGATTGGAAGTTGGACTTTTGACCATGGTTATTAACTTTCCCAAAATCAGATTTTGACCAAAAATTTCCCATTTCTTATCCCTTCTTGGCCGAACCTCTTAGAGGAGAAAAAAAGGAAAACCTTCAACTCCAACTCCATTTTTCTTGCTCAATCTTGAGTTTCAACCAACCAAATCACAAACTACTCCATAAAAGTTGTTTACTAAGGAGGATTAAAGCTTGTAGTGGAGTGATTTTGGGAGGAAAGATACTAAGCTACCATTTTCTTGAGGTTTCAAGGTAATTTGCTAAGAAAATTCCTCTTTGCTTCTAATAGTTGCCAATTATTGGCTTATAGTTGTTAAATATGTTGTTTTGTAGAAGATTTCATGGTTTGAGCTAGAGTTAAGTTAAATTTCAGTTTTATGGTGTTATTTCTGCCCTCATGTGATGAGTAATGGTTGGCCATAGAATGATAGCTTTATATTCAATATAAAATGAAGCATTGGTATGCTAGTTTTGATTGCCTAAGAAATTTTCCAGCTTGGGTGCAAAAATTCCAGCTTTAGGGTTTCTAATTTGAGCTACCATTTGGTTGTATTTGAAGGGTATTGTGACCCTAATTAGGTGTGTTCAATAGCTTGTGATTTATATGGGAAATTGTGGCTGAAATGAGATAAGATTGGGTGTTGATGTTAGGTTGGAAAAGTAAAGAAAAACAAGGGAAGTGCTGCTGAAATTTTCGCAGGAACCCTTGAGCAGTTTTGGAAAATTTGCTATATCTTGTCGTAGAAATATTGGAATTGAGTTCTGTTTGTTGTGTTTTAAACTAGATTCATAAATCTATAAACCATGAAAATTTCAGACCCTGGTTCTGTCTGTACAATTTATGGTGATTTTTCAAAGTTAACGGAAATTGCATACCTGTTCTGTCTTTTACTGGATAAAACAGCAATTTGAGGCTCGAATTTGATTGACTTGTGATCTAAATCTTATAACTGTGTCTTTTGAGAAATTGTACCCCTTTGAGACTATTTTCCGACAGTATAAATTTTATCAATTTTGGACTTAAGAATCTTGAGATATGATGTTTCAAATGGTAGTGCGCAAAACTGGAAAATCCTGTTTTCCTAAAATTGTCCTTACTCTCATTTTTCACCTTAAGTTTGGAGTTAGTAAATCATTGTAAGTATGGTTTTTGATAGAAATGTAGGGTTTTGGGGTTTTGTTCTTGTTGTAGAACCAACCGCTACCGTTTTACTCCGAAACCACACCTTTATCTCTTTGTATTTTACTCCGAAACCACACCTTTATCTCTTTGTATTTGAATAGGCATACGACTAGTAGTCGAGCCTCACTTGTGCATTCCGTTCACTCCATTTTGGACATGAAAACTTCAATTGTTTTAGTTTGGTTATTCTTAGGGTTTCATGGTGATCAAAGCCCTACTTTGGAGTGAAAACGTTTGAAGTGGTTTGTTAGAACTGGTGAATGTACCACTCCCCTCATTTGTTGCTTAACTTGATTTCTATACATGCAATCTGTGATTTGAATGACTGTACTATCTATTTATTCTTTTTGAGACAAAGGTGTACTTTATCACACCCGTTCTCTTGTCTATATGCCCATTTACTGTGAAAATTTGACTCTATTATCTGTGCTTAATCTGACGTCGGTTGGAGACTCGTATCCAACGACCTTTCTGTGACCTCTGAGTTCAAAACCTGTGGCTAGTTACTCGAGTCAAGCCGGCGAGGGCCTGGTCGATTAGATAACGAACCACGGTAGTCTATTTCTGGAAATCTTTGGGTATTGAGACTCTGGATTCCAATATACTCGAGTATTACCACTTCTGTTTCTATTGAGGTGTTCGGGCCCGGTAAGGGGTATGTTTGGTGGACGGAATTGGGTGTAAAGTGGGGTCTACGGACATGGTTGTCCTTTATACGTTGACAGAGAGTCAACGGGTTTGGATCAAGTACTGCAAATGGGAATTTTGGGCTTCTGAGAGCCACCTGTATCCTTTCTATCTAAGGTGTTTGTTCATTTCCTTATTTGATATGTATATGTGACTAATTGAATCTGAAGTTCCATGATTCTTGACTGCTATTATTTCTGGTACCTCATTGAGTGTAAGCTCACCCCTTTCCCGTTATCTTTGTTTTCCTTACAGTGGACAAACTTTGAAATCATGGTTTTGGAAGGAAAGGTTGAGCTAGTGTATATGTTATTTTGTTAAGCTCTTTTACAATCACACCCTAATTGTATTTTGAACAGTATGAATACTTTGGCTTACACTTTAGTTTATTTGTTCAAGACTCCGATGTAAATATATATATAAGTGTTTAACCTTGTCTATTGAGTGTATTCAGTTGAGATGTTATGCTTCTATGGCTTTGGTGAACGTTTCTTGTAGTCGTTGGACGATCTGATGAGCGCAGCGTTTGAAAAGGAAAGAAGAAAAATTTTGTCAGAAAAATTCTTTGGAGAATCCAGCCGCATATCCGGCCAGTTCTTGGTCGGATTGGCAAGGCAAGTTGAAACAAAATTTGACCAGGCACTGCCTCGAATCCGGCTGTTAATCCGGCCAACTTCCGGCCGGATTGTGACGTGGCCTTTTCGTTTCATTTTCATTCTCGTTTCTCTTTTCATTAAAGTGTTTAATTGAAATCCCATACTACCGTATGGTTTGGTAAGTTCTATTTTGGATTTTAGTGGTCTCCAATTGTTCGTCTTCTTTGGGTTCTATCGCGCGTACTCTAGGGTTTGTGAGATTCGACTCCGTAGTCCTGGCGAGAGTTGGGCAGGCGGTCCGCCGAACCTTTTGGTTTGCCTTAGGGGGAGGTGGGGCTGGCATAGAAATGCATTTCCAAGTTACACAAAGGTGGATACTTGGACTCATTTGATTATGAATCATATGATATATGTGAAGCTTGTTTACTTGGAAAAATGACAAAAATACCCTTTACTAGAAATGGAGAACGGGCTAGTGATTTACCTGGGCTAGTACATACTGATGTATGTGGTCCAATGTCAATTACAGCTAGAGGTGGATTTTCATACTTCATTACCTTCACAGATGATCATTCTAGATATGGATATGTGTATTTAATGAAATACAAATCTGAATCTTTTGAAAAGTTTAAAGAATTCAGAAATGAAGTAGCGAAACAAATAGGTAAAAGTATTGTGACACTACGATCTGATCGCGGTGGAGAATACTTAAGTGATGAGTTTCGAGTTTATTTGAAGGATAATGGAATAGTTCCACAATGGACTCCTCCAGGTACACCACAGTTAAATGGCGTGTCTGAAAGGAGAAACCGCTATTAGATATGGTACGGTCCATGATGAGCCACTCAAGTGTTCCAAAATCATTTTGGGGATATGTATTGGATACTGCCTCCCATACTCTTAACAGAGTACCCACAAAGGTTGTTGATTCAACTCCATATGAAATATGGAAAGGGAAGAAACCAAATCTATTCCACATGAAGGTTTGGGGCTGCTCAGCTTATGTAAAAAGGGCAGAATCGGATAAGCTTGATGCTAGATTCGATAAGTGTTTGTTTGTAGGGTATCCAAGAGAGTTTATAGGATACTATTTCTACAACCCAATTGAGCAAAAAGTGTTTGTTTCAAAACATGCTATTTTTCTAGAAAAAGAGTTTATTCTAGAAAGAGACAGTGGGAGTAGAATAGATCTTGAAGAAATTCAAGATCATCAAACAAACATTGAGCAACCTGTTGAAGAACAACTTCAGCCACATAATGATGGTGCGCATACAGAACCTGTGGATATACAAGGGCCCTGTAGGTCAGTAAGGGTACGCTCAGCTCCCAAGAGATATGAATTTCTTATGAGTCAAAGCAATGATATACTAGTCATTCAAAATGATGAACCTACTACCTACCAAGAAGTGTTGGATAGTCCAGACTCCTCCAAATGGTTGGAAGCCATGAATTCCGAAATGAATTCTATGTACGACAACAAGGTATGGACCTTGGTTAATCCACCTGAAGGGATAAACCCTGTAAGGTGTAAATGGGTCTTCAAAAAGAAGATAGACATGGAAGGAAATGTGATTACCTATAAAGCTAGACTGGTAGCCAAAGGCTACAAGCAGAAAGAGGGAATCAATTATGATGAAACTTTCTCACCAGTAGCAATGCTTAAGTCCATTCGGATATTGCTTGCAATAGCGGCATATCATGACTATGAGATTTAGCAGATGGATGTAAAAACTGCATTCCTTAATGGAAATTTGCAGGAAGATGTGTACATGACACAGCCTGAAGGTTTTACATCTTCAAATCCTAGTCAAATATGTAAGGTACAGAGGTCCATTTATGGACTTAAGCAAGCATCTAGGAGTTGGAACATCCGATTCGATGAGACAATCAAAGAGTTTGGGTTTCTTAAGGATTCGGATGAACCTTGTGTATTCAAGAAGGTTAGTGGGAGTTCAATCTGTGACGACCCCACCTCCCCTTAGGGCGTACCCTAGGGTTTAGCGAGTCGCCTGCCCAACTCTCACCAGGACTCACTCACTCACATCAAATAAAATAGGGTGCAACCTCAATAATAAATGAAATAACAGTTCCCAAGTTTGGAACATACAAATACATTCATTTCTATCTCAACCAGCCATACAATCCCAAATATATCAAAAGATTGGAGTTCTAAATACATTCAACCCTAATCGAGCGACTAGTGCGAGTACAATTCCAAAATTTTCAAAAAAAACTAGACAATGCTAGCCTTACCAGTCTCACGCCTCGCTCATATCCCTTGTAAGGAAAACAAATGGCGTGAAATGAGCTAAAAACTCAGTAAGGTTCCAAATAGCAAGTTGACCATTATTTAAAAGTACAAGTATCAATGTAGCAAAATAGCGAGCATAACAAGTTCATAAAAGTGAGTAATAACACTTCAATTAACAATTCTAAAAAATGAGCGAGTATAAAGTTTTTTTAAAAGAAAAAAATAACCCAATAAGCAATAATCATTTCAAAGTATAAGGATACGGATGGCTCTCAGGAGCCAAGTTCCCATTGCTTCACCAGAGCTTGATCAAGTATTTTTTGACACTTTGTCAACTTTCAAGTAAAGTAACCAATCCAATAGTACTTCGCTCAACTCCAATCCATCCACCATTCAACCCCCTTACCAGGCTCGAACACCAACTAAACACTGGTGGTAATACTCGAGTATACCGATTAGTCGAGGAGATAACACTCCACTCGACAACACGAGATACCCATGGTTCATTATCTAATCGACCAATCCCTTGCCGGCTCGACTCGATTAACTAGCCAATGGGGTTTGGATCTCCAAAAAGTCAATGAGATAACACTCCAATCGACTGAATTAAGATAAAAGTACAGAGACGGGAATGAGAGGTACCTCCCACTCGCATTGAGTGTGGTACATGCTGCCGCTCAACACTTATAAGTCAAGTACAAGTATATCAAGTCAATTGCAACAATAAACAAGTATATATCATATTAGGGCAAGTGAGATAAAGTACACTCTTCCCCGATCAAACAAATTACATATCATTTGATTGCATTGGTCAAGTATGAAAAACAAGTGTCAAGTTCAATCAAGTATTTGGAAGCACTCACCAAAGGTCTAGTGCCTCTCAAAAGTCATGTTCAGGTCCAACTCCTTGGTTGGAGTCCAAATCTGCGATAAAATATCATTTACGAATGTAAAACTCTCTAGAGTTCGAAACATAGGAGTTTCGCTTCAAGAAAATCAAGTAAATGCAATTTGTTTAAGTATATTTAAGATACTTATCAAAGTCTAAAAAATTCATGCTCGCTCGTTTAGTTATGATCACGAAGTGGTTTCGACTTTAGAAGTTACACTTGGTATCAAAGACCGGGAAAATCGTATTTTGAAAGGGCCGCTACTTTCACTTTTCAAGGGTACGAGTTCCAGAAAAATTTTAGCTTATATACCTTGACTAAAGAAAACTTGAATACCATAGGCGATCCAAGTCCAACTTGACCTCAAATCGTCGCTCAAGTCGCAGGTACATATGCCTAACTCTCGAGTGAAAATTTGGGCAGCACGCCTTTTGTGTTTACCTATTTTCTAGCCATTTATGGCTTCATTGTTTTTCTCAATTCAGCTCCAAAACACACACAAGCAATGTTACCAACATAACCCTTCAAATACGCCCCAAAATCATCCAATTACAACACAAGTCTAATAATACAACCAGAAATCAGTTTTGAAGACAAAAGGCTAACCAGCAGATTTGACATCTTATAGCATTTTGGTCACAAATGGAGATATGTTTATCATATTGGTGTGCACTTTATACTGTTTCGAATCTAAGACAAAGGGCTACAACTTTCATGAAGAGCACTAAATCCAGTTCACAATTGATCAAGGTCGAATTTACAGATTTCAGAACCAGAATGTCCTTGTCAGTATGGTTGTCAGCACTAAATTCAAATGACAATAACTCAGGATACACAATTCCGTTTGAGGTGTTTTCAGATGCGTTGGAAAGCTGAAACATAGGGCTCAAAGTTTCGTGTTTTGGCCAAAGGCTGATTTTGTGATGCCCCGAAAAGAATGAGTGCGAGAACCCGAAAAATTTCTAATTTTCTAGGGTTTATTTTTTTTTAATCGCCCGCCTTTTCTACATTTTCTTGATTAGAAAAATTCCCCAGATAAAGTTTATGTGCAAAGATAGTTTTAAAATGATTTTTCTAGTATCGGTTAGTTTTTGAAAAATTAAAAGCGTATTTTGAACGTGGGACCCGTAAGTGCGGTAAATGCATTATATTTTTGACAACTTGTTGGAATTTTGTATTAAATAATATTATTTTACAAAGTGTTAAGATATTTGTATTGGAGAGACAAAAAGATAAGTTTTAAACCAAAAAGGTGACATGTGTCACCTTCTTATTCAAAGTTGGACTTTGACTAATTTGCATCACCTTTAGTAAACCTCAAAAATTGACCAATTTCTCTCCATTTTAAGCTTGTCTTGGCCGAACCTCTTGGAGCAAAAATACAAGAAGAAAGCCTTCAACTCCAACTCCATTTCTTGCTCAATCTTGTGAATCAACCGTTAAACTTTCAAATTCCTCCACAAAAGTCACTTGTTTAGGAAGATTGAAGGTAGTGGTGGAGTGATTAGAGAAGGCAAAGGACTAAGCCATCAACTTTCTTGATATTTCAAGGTTCATGTCTAGCAATCCTTTCTTTGTTCTTGATTATGCTAAATTAGTGACTTGTGATGGCTAAAGAGATGGTTTGATGGATTATATCTTGAGTTGTGGTTGACTTGATGAAGTTTTATAATTTTTAGGGATTTTTCTGTTTTAATATGAACATGATTGTGTGGCTATCTATGATGATTGGAAATGGTATATAATGACTCTAGGAAGTGGAAAAAGTGATTAATTGCAACCAATTTCTGGTTTGGAAGAAATTTCAGAAAATTAGGGTTCTTGTGGGAGCATTCTGCTCGAATTTTTAGCTCCTAGTTAGAGGCCGAATTGGCCTTATCTTAAAACATGAAAGTTGTAGGGAATGACATTTTAGAGGTGCCTACAAAATTTCAGGTCAATCGGAGTAGTGTAGAATGAGAAAAGTCAAAATTACTATTGCTGTTCTGGTTTTACCCGAATGTAAGAATTGCGCCTGTAATTGGTTGTTTTGGCTGGAATTGCTTCCGAATTGGTTGTTGAGGCCTTCTGATGAAATTTAGCCATGTTTCTTAGCTTTCAGCTGGTTTTGGAATTTCTGGATTTGGACTTGGATAGCCTGATTTATGATGTTTCCGCTAGAATGCGTTCTGTGAATCTGTTTTTCCGGTTCTGGTGTAGTTTCTTGCATTTTTGACCTGGTTACACTCGAAACTGGGTTGAGTGACCTTCTGTGATATTGTAGCCCTATCTCTCAGTTTCGAAACGGTGTATCTTGCACCTTCATCCGACAATCGTAGTGCCTTTGGTGCCATTACCGCAAAAGGATGTCAAAAGCTATTTTTCTGGTTTTGAGCTTAACCTTCATTTCCAAACTTTTCCCTAGCTTGACTTGTACTAGTACTACTTGGAGCTTACTGAATGACTATTGAATGAACTTGTTGTTGTGTGTGTACCTTTGGGACTGGCTGAGGAAATAATGAAGCCATGATGGCTGGAAAAGTTAGCAAATTCAGGGGAAGTGTTGTCCGAACTTTGAAGGGACTTGTTTGCATTGAGTTTGTGATCTAAGACTTGGATTTGAGCAAAGCAATGTTATATGATGGATGATTCTGAGCCATGGAGGTGAGTGACCCTAAACTATTTCCAAAGTACTTGTG